GCGTATTTGCTAAGACGTTTTGTATATTTGTAGTGATATAGCCTCTACACATCACACGCCCAAAACTAGGTGGGGATAACGAGGGGCGGATCCGGGTGTATGCAGAGTTGATGTACCTATTAGTCCGCAACCCGAAGTTTCCAGAATATTGTAAACGGACCAAAAAGGCAATCTAACTCGTTTTTGGCTATTTTTGAACTTATTGCGTTTTTAGGGGACATTTGATAATGTTTTTTATGGATAATTTGATAATATGCATACCCTCCCCGGAAGTTTTACGAGGAGATCTGGGGTGACGACGTGGGTAAGGCCGGGGATACGCGGGTTGAAAACCCCGTATTCAGCCCCTTCGAATCCCCGTCGTCACCCACGGAGCAACCCTATCTCCCCGGAATTTCAACGGGGGACCCGGGGCTTTGGCTGGCAAGGGGGATACTCACATTTATTTATCGAAACAACATGTTTTAGACATTTGCGCAGCGAGCTCGGAAGCTAGTTTTCCGTCCCGTTAATCGTTTTTGGCAAAATACACCCCAATCTTGGCAATTAACTGGCTATTCTTCCTGTGCATTCGAATTTTTTGAAAGATGTTTTTTGGATCGGCCATTAAAACTACAATAGAAGACGGTTTAAATACGTCGTGCACAAAATGGTTATTTTAGAATACACATTGCGAAATTTGTGACAGGTTACTTTGTGATCCAAGACTACGCTAGTAGACCAGCTGTCCCTGGAAGTATCTACAACTGTAACACTTTTCGATCTTGCTCTGTAGTTTATAAGCAGTTCTGTGTGACTGACAGTAACACGGATTAAAAACTAAAAGTTAGACTCAAAATATCGGTTTTAAATACCTCAGGACATGCAAATATACGCTGCTGATTTCAGAGTTGTCTACCAATAGGCACCAGCAGATCGCAATATCTTGTTCGAGCTATTAAAAGGATTTTCAAGCCCTCACACGTAGCGCTTTTCCTTTTCTCGGTACAAATGCTCCGTTATGGCTGTTGGTAACGATCATCTGCAAATTCTAAGCAAATACAGTCACGACTTAAATGTGACCGGTGTTATTAAGGATCTGGGCACATCGTGTTCTAGTGGTCTCAATCTAAGAGAGAGCACTGGACCCTGATTGTCTCAAGAGCACGCCAAACAATTGGGAATAGGAATAAATCATAGGGCTACTCAATGAACTTAAGTGAATGGTGATGTGAGTTATTCTAATAGTGTTGTTAGTAGATAGGCTTGCGATTTTAACCGATAGGGCGTCTTTTACTGTTTTATTTATCAATAGGCTTCCTTTGCTAACTAGCAGGTGTTTCTATGAATTTTTTTGTTCATTTCGCATACTTTCTATTTCACACTCAGCATGGATTAAGCACGCATCACATGCTCTTCAATCAAGCATAGTTCCTTTGCCCGCGAATTTCGTCCCAAAAGTCGGCTAGGAGACCTTTGCCATTGGGCAGCCCTACGATTTATTTCTGACGCAATAAGATGTTTTCATTGCGTCAAAATATCTTGCTTATCCTGAGATCGGGACTTGGCTAACCAAGCAATATGGATCAGCGAAGTCAGCATCGAAGCGCAACGAAATATATGCCGTAAGGAAATACGAATTGCTAGAACTACCATCAAGGGTCAACTAACAATCCAAGCCACAATATGTCCAAAGACGTTTTATGAGTACATAGGCGGTCAGTCAGTCAGTCAGTCAGTATATTTGAGGGAAAGGTAGGCTTGCGACTTTGAAC